TAGCACCAAAAAGCAAGGGCCTATATAGAAAAACACAACATGTGAGGGTTTCAAAGACATCATGGACACCATGCTGAGTGAAAACCCAGCCAGACTCAAAAGTTATCCATTCTCTGATTCTATTTTGGAAAATGTGATCTTTTAGAAAAGACAAAATCATAGCTACAGAAAACTGATGACTAGCTATTGGGATATGGAGGTTAGGAAGAGATTAAATATGACATGAAAATAGAGGGGAACCAGGGTCATGGCATTGCATTGTATCTAGGATGTGGTGGTGGCCACGTTCTCTATGTATTTAATTTCACTCATTGACCTCAATGCCAAAATGTTCATTTTTCCATATGGAAATTCCATAGAGACTCACCTATGCAATCCTGGCTGGCCACAAGTCACAATTCTCCTGCATCAATTTTCTAAGTACTAGGATTCCAGGCCTGTGCCATCATAGTCTGATTTTATTTTTTAAAGGGAAATTAATGTCATAACAAATCCTCCAAAAGAGTACATGAATAATCTCTTTGGTCCAGTAAAAAGCAGGCGATCATCCTGATTTTGATAGAAGTATTCAAAAGAAAAATTTATCAAGGTAAGTTCTACATCCAATGTTAGGAGCCAAGTGGAAACACAGCCTCGGAGAATCATTGCAACGATCCATAGACATGATTTACTGACTCTCTGAGCATAGACACAGGGAACAAAACCTCAAAATCTAGTCCAGAGCTTTGGCCCTTCACAACGATGTATATATGAATAGGGTTCTTCAGGATGAAAGCAACAAAGACTAGCTGTCCTTTAGCCAAGAAACACACATTAAGAAAGTGGGAGCAGAGCTGTACTGGAAGAGCTTAGAGCATGTCACACTAGGGAAATTCTAAAAAGTGGTGTGCCTGATGGCTTTCATGTGTTTCTAGACAGCTCAAACCACCAGTGTAGCAGCCACTTCTACCAGAATGTCACCCAGCTTAGTGAAGGTGCAGCTGGAAACCAAACCACCACCTCACCCAGCACTTCCTATGACTCACTTTCAACTATGGAGCGCCATCAGCACAGGGAAACAGATACGCATCCAAAACTCATTGGATACTCACAAATATCTCAGACGAATGGAGGGCATCAGTAACACGCTGCTACCATTGACCATCAGGAGATATGGATCCAGATCCCTCACTGCACACCCTTCCATCAGAGCAATAGTTCTGACGCATGTTCTGTTGATCTTCTAAATCAGGTCCTTGAGATTAAGGAATCAGCACCAGTAACAGTGGGCAACACCTTCACTTGTCCTGGTGTTGACTAGCTTTCCCCTCCTCTGCTTCAGGCTCCCTGCCTCCAGTGCTCCAAACTTACAGGATCCATTACATTATTCATAGGTAGCTTTCATATCAGACTCTCAGATTCTGATTCCCAAGAAACTGAACACTGAGAAGGATCCAGGGTATATCTGCTGTTATGAGATGGAGGGAGCTTTTTTTTTTTTTAAACCCCACTTGTGATAGCAGAAAACTTGTCTCGGATCAACTGCAACCACTTTCCAGGAGGGAGTCAAACTGGCACTTCTTAGGTTACTTGTACCCTCTGAAGTCAAAGAATGTGGGCTCTCACACTGTTACCCCAACATAACTTCTTTGAAAGAAGAAATGATACTTCTTCATCAAGTATGCCAAGACTGAAAACTGGGGTGACGTGGGGAATTTTGTTATCTCATTGTAAGTTATTTCTCAATAGAGCTAACTTATCAATGTTCAAACATAAAACAGTATACGAATAGCAGTAGAATATCCCCACCTTGTAATAAACAATTGTAAATATCAAAGGAATCAACAACTGATTAGATCCTGGTTAGATTCTTAAAACATAAAACAGAGAGTAAAAGTACCATTTAGATATATTGGAGCACTCTAACAGACTTTTCTGGCAGTATGTAATTGGTATTTTGAATTTGGAAAGTCCAGGCTCTGACAAATGTTTGCTTTATGCCTTCATGTCTCATTACTCTCACTTTGTCTCTCTCTCTTCTCTCTAGGTTAATATCCAACACAGGCATTAAGCACCTACCAGTGGTTCATAAGATTCAGTCTCTTCAAAAGGTTCTATTGTAAGTTTTGATTGGTAGGATGTCAATCAGCTCTCCATCTAACAAATGCCTGAGGTAATAGACTTACAAAGAGAAAAAGGGTATCTTCGTTCACACATTACCCAGTTTCAGTAAATGGCTGGTTGGTACCTGACCTTGGATTTATTATGACCTTCTGGATCTCTAGCATCCATCACATAGCACATCCTCCGAATACATGGCTCTGGGTGATCAGAGGGAGGAAGATGAACAGCAAGGTGGACTGACAAAGTTCCATTTGTGTTGTTGGAGACTGCTTGTTTGTTCCCAGCTGCCCTGACCCAAAATAATCACACAGAAACCACTTAATTACAATATTGTTTGCCCAATAGCTTAAGTATATTTCTAACTATCTCTAAAGTCTTAAATTAACCTGTTTCTAGTAATTTGTGAATCACCAAGAGGCTGTGACCTACCGGCAGGGCTCCATCCAGCATCTGTCTCCTGTAGCAAATACATGGTTTCTCCCTGACTCCGCCTACTTTTACCCAGCATTCAGTTTAGTTTTCCTCACCTAGCTCTATTCTGCACTATCACAGACCAAGAAAGAGCTTCTTTATTCTCTAACCAATAAAAGCAACACATATAAAGAAGGACTTTCCACACCACATTTGAATGAAGCTAACAGGCTCTACACCAAGTATTATCAATAAACAAGCTTAGAACCAAATCACAGTCTCATTTACTCCAAGGCTTTAGTATTAGATGCCTGCAACTCCGCATATTCCTCCATCATTTCTCCTTCCTTCTAGAGTCCCTATTCTTCCTAAAGTATGAATAGCAACTGTTTTCCCTCTTCCCATGAATCCTGTAGTTTAAAGGAGGAGGAAAAAAGGCAATGAATAGAGCAAAGACAGAGCTCAGTGGCAGAATATTTGTCTAGTAAGCATGAGTATCTGGACTTGATACCCAGCACAGAAAAAAAGAAGGGAAAGAGGAAGAAGGAGGTTCAGTGGGAAGAAGAAAAAAGAAAGGTAGCAAAGAAGGAAGGAAGGAAGGAAGGAAGGAAGGAAGGAAGGAAGGAAGGAAGGAAGGAAGGAAGGAGGGAAGGGAGAACTTTATTTCCAATAGTGAACTTGTAAGAATCTGAGCAGATCCCAAAAGAAAAGGTCAAGATGGGTGCAAGGAGCTGGGGACAGAGGACCAAGAGAATCCTCTAGACCTTGTGAGTTGTTTCCAGCTTTTAGCACTTTTGCTGTTATATATTCACAGACCTAGGTCAGTCTGATGGAAGGATAAACAAAACAAACAACAACAAAAAATTCTCTATTCTTTGATGTGGGAAGGAAAAAAATCAGTAATAATTTTTATGTGACTCAAAAAAAAATGATGGGAAAAAAATATGTAAGAAAAGGAATAATTAACTCAGATATAAGTGATTGACTTATAAGCATGAGGTCCTGATCATGGCCTCCACTCCCTCAACCCCAAACCCCTGCTTTTTTAAAAGTCGAGCATGTACCACCATGCTCATAGTTCCAGCACTAGAGTGGAAGAGACAGGACATGAGATTTGCTGGCTGGTTGGCCTTTTCTACTAGTCTAGTTTGAGGCCAAGGGCAGAGGTGTCTCAAGAAAAAGGTGGGTGCTATCTAAGGAATGACCTGAGATTGACCTCTGGCCTACACACACAAAGAAAGTACTAGAAGAATGAAAAAGGAGGAGCCGACACAAATAAATTGAGTGGAGAGGTTGGTCTGTAGGTAACAGGTCAGTTTCTGTGTTCATCCTACTGGGCAGAGTCCAGCTGTAGAAACAAGGCTAAAAAAGAACTATATTGAAGAGAACCTCAATACAGTAACATCCTCGAAGGAATTCTCCAAAGAGAAAAGATTCTATGGGTGTGCAATTTCATCTGTGAGAAGAGCTAACACACTACAGATAAGCTGACCGTTTGTTGCCCAAACTTTGAGCTGTTGTCCTCCGAACAGAAATTCCATCAAACTGTTATTGCAGCTGCGGATCCCTTGGTGCCAGCAAACGGAATGTGGAAAGGTTGCACAGGTGGAGCCCACACAAACATCTAATTTGTCTGTTCTTTCTTCTTAGAGACATTCAAGATAACATAAACATCCACACCATTGCCAGGAATTCCTTCAGGGGACTGAGTTTTGAAAGTGTGATTCTGTAAGTAAGGGGGGAAACCCAGTATCCTGGGTCTTGGCTCTTCACTTATCAATCTCTGGTTTTCTCATGCCAGCCTAGGCCTTTGTTTGTATAATGACATTGGCATTTCACTGTTTAAATCATTCTGTGGCTCCTGTGTTTTCCTCTCATTTTTATATCTCAGAATCGCAACATGGAGTCCTGTTAATAATTCATGATTCTGTATTGTGATTCAAGTATTTAAAATTGCTCTTTGAATGATGGTCCCCATGAGGCAACATCTGCTCCAAAGGACAGACTAGCTAGTGTGTCAATAAAACTGATTATTGCCTGGCAAGGCTTCTGCTGCCAACCAAGAATGATAGGGAAGGAAGTGTACTCAGGAGCTAGGACTCCTTCCTCATAATCACAGGAAGCAGCTCCCATTTGGGCCCATGCTGAGCTCACAATGACCATCATCTCCGCTCAGAATAATCACACTTGCTAATGAGCTTGAGTTAATCTGTCTGAATTCTGGGGAAGTTTTTAAATGCCCTCAGTGTCATCAATGAATGACCTTCTAATCCTCTGTGCTAGTGGCCAGTATGGCAGTCCACCTGCTCCTCAGGATAGCCAGAAAACAAGGTGTTGTGGACTTTCTAAATGCCCATAGGACTCTTGTAACAGGACAGTGACATCTAGAGAATCACTCATTGTGATTCTACCTGGAAGAAAATAAATTCATTGCCCTGTTTTACAAATTGTTATGAGTTCATTTTATAACATGATTTCTTATGGTTTTGTTTGGAGTAGACTCACTGTGTGCAGTTTCTCCTGAAGCAGCAACAGCCATACAGACCCTCTCTCTTCACCGCTTTGTTTAGAAGCACTGTGTGATTCTCCAGAGCTCAGCAACACACTTTTCAAAACGGGATGCTTTTCTCTTGAGAGTCAACATTTTTCAGACATGTCTCCGGAAGATAAATTCACACTTGTGAGAACAGCATCTATTTTCTTACGTTGTCTGCTCGTTAATCCATAGATAATAGAGTCGGAAGACTCCTACTGAACACAGCTGTAAGTCTCCAGTTGTGCTTCATCCAAATACTTTTGATACAGAGATGCTTCCTCCTAGGAGAGCCATCCAGTGCACTCGAGGAAAATGTAAGAAAATCGTGCTGAGCACTGAAAAGCTCTACCTCACCACATCTTCAAATCTTTGGAACTCTTTTCTAAAGAGAAATGTACATATTTATTTTTTCCTAAACATCCTAAGATAATCAGGATCTTGGTAACTGACTCAAAAAAAAGAGCAAAAAAAAAAACCCCACATTTTGTAGGGCCTTTGTGCCCTTTCTCACCCACCTCTGTCACAAAGAGCAGAGGGGCTACTGGGTAAAGTACCTAATGAATGGCCTAATTCTGAGATGAGAGATGAGGTTATAATTGGGACCACTGTTCCCAGCATTCTCTGGCCCCAATTCTCTGGAAAGGATTGTGTCTTTCATGTTTTCTCTCTTCCTTAATTAACTCCCATCTAGCTTGTCCATCCTTCATGAGTTTTAATGGGCAAGGTTTCATGTTTTCAAGAGAAATTTCTCTTGAGTGTCCATATCATTTGACTCTAGGGATGACACAGGACCTAGGAAACCCTGAGGGATTTTTCCTCAGCAGAATAATTTCACAGAGAGCTGTCATTCTCATCTTCATCATAACATCATCATTATCACCAGATTTTAAAGTAGGCACTCCCTATTTTAGGAGATTTGGAACCAGGCCTAGTGACACAGGCCTATAATTCCAGCTACTTAGGAGGCTAAGACAGGAAGCTTGTAAATTCAAGCCTGCCTGGATTTTAGGATGAGACCAAGGCTAGCATAAACAACTTATCTAAAATTTCAAATATATGTATATTTAAGAATAAATATCTATTACATATTTATAAATGGCTGAGGATATATACCAGAGGTAGAGAATGTGTCTAGCATGATCAAGGCCTTGGGTTCACCACAAAAGAACCAGAGGAATGGATTAGGAATGTACTTTATTGTTGTTGGCTTCTCTGTGTTAGTAGAGTCCAATAGCCTAATAGGAAGTCAAGGGGAAAGGGTTTTGACATAACTTGATTTTGTGTGATGATGCACCATTGACATAAAATATCCTCCTGCATGTTGTGACCTGCTCAAGAAAACAATAAAGGCAATGGGCTTCTTTGAAAATAGTAACTATTGTAGTCTATGTATTATTTCATCATATCAGCATCTTTCACAGAGTAATCTTGTGAAGGAAAGATTAATTATCTAATTTATAGACAAGTAGGTAATGCCTATATAAACCTACAAAGTCCTGAGCAAAAGTACAGGACCAACAAACAAAAATGCACAGGTCAAATCCAGCTTGTAGCTAAGATTGGCTTTTATAATTGACATGCAAAAAGAAAAAACAATTTTATTTAACTACTATATTCTGCAGTTGTTTAATAAAATGTGTGCCATCACTTTATGAGACCCTATATAAAGCAAGTGGCATCTTTAACCTCGCCTCTTGGTCCATAAAATAGAGAAAGTTTGTTGACACTTGTGGTTGATGTCAAAACCCCAGGGATAAGCAACCCACAGGTTGGAGGCTGCTGTCCCAGTGACTTTCACCACAGAGGACAGGCTGATGTATCTGCATTCTAAATGTTTCTGGCAGAGACCTTTCAGGGCAGTGACAGTAGAGAATGGGGGTGGGGAGCGAGATGGAATGCACAGTCACCCCGCTGTAACCAGACGCTACCTGTTGACTGCTAATGGTCGAAAAGATTTATTTTTCTTCTCTCTAGACTTCCTAGTTCCCTGGACTTCAGGAAGAGGGGAGAAAAAGGCACATAGTTGTTTGCCTGTGGGTTTTCAGGAAACCTCTTCTAGCTGCTCACCACAGCCGAAGGAGTTTCTGGAGTCCCCCGGTAGTTTCTCTGGATCAGATCTCAGAACACTGCTGTCAGGAAACCCACCAAGTCCAAGTCTAGCAGGGGAAGAAGCTGTAAGCAGACAAGGGCACATGGCTAGAGGCTCAACGCTGGGCTATCCTGACCTTGGGGAGTTGTTTCTGTTTGAAAGTCCACTCAAGAGAAGAACAGGACAGAGTTGATGGCCCACAGTGGCCTGAGACACCCCTGTCCAAACATACCTGCATCTCAGCATCTTCATACAGTGAGCACGACAATGTACACCAACCCCACCTCCCCCAAAGCTCGGCTACAGCCACACACATAAACTCAACCTGCCACAGTCTGCAGTCGCTATAATTAATTTCTCTTCTTTTCTGCCTTAACCCAGAGCCACCTCCACAAACCTCCAATAACCAGGGCCCCACGGGTCACTGGAGATGTTCAGGTTGTCTGACAACTTAATTAGATCATTTTTTGAAGGCAGCCAGGCCTGATGCTGTGGGTGAAGAGATCCTTAGAGAAAGGTGACATAAAATGTCTTTTCTCTGTCTTAGAAATATTTGCTCAATAATTACAATTTCCATCCTTCAAGGCAGGGAGATTTTTGGTTTTCTTGTAGAATTTTCTCTGTACTTGGGCAGAGTGTGCAAAGATCTTATAGGTACAGTATCCAGAGAGTGTGTATTTGAAAAAAAAAAAAAACTAAATTCCATTTATTCATTCTTTTCTGTGAAGCTCAGTTATTCCTGTGAATTGATACTATGCAGACATAATATAAGCTTCAAAACTTACTAAAGGTTCCATAGCAACAAAGCAGCCTCGGTCTCCTTTCCCTCCCACCCCTGAACATAAGGGTTGCATCTTATTTATGCCACTAACTGTGCTGTCTGACCTTGCCCCAGTGCTTCCAATTACAAACCCCTGCATTGGCTGCATCTGACATTATTATGTTTTTAATGGGCTTTTATTTCAGATGGCTGAATAAGAATGGGATTCAGGAAATACACAACTGTGCATTTAACGGAACCCAGCTAGATGAGCTGTAAGTAGCCCTGACTACTCTTCCAGGCCATTTAGGGGGAAATGGCTCTTACAACAGGGATATTTATGTGACTTTCCTTTTCTTATTCTTTCTCCAACTCCATCCCCAGGAATTTAAGCGATAACAATAATTTGGAAGAATTGCCTAATGATGTTTTCCAGGGAGCCTCTGGGCCAGTCATTTTGTGAGTAACTTCATTCGTTTCCATGTAGAAGAGTTCAGCTTATACAAGTTAAAAACAAACTTTGTCCTGCTTAAAGAGGGGGTGGCCAGCAAGATCAATTTTAGTTCACAATACTTGCAAAGACTTGTGGGAATAATTTAGGGTTATCTATAGTATGACTTTAAATAAAGTGGAAACAATAATAACATGTAATGAGCATGTTCTGAGTGCCAGTGTTCTAAAAGGTTAAAATGTGCTCTCAGTTCTTATAAAACCCCTCTGGGGTAAGAGTTCTTACTGCCATTTTGAAGAAAGAAAAACTGGATGATCTGGAAGAATTAAGCAACTCATTCAACAGTAATGCAAGTTTTCTAGAAGGAATTCAAAGCAAACTGTCTGGCTCACAGCAGACACCAGCCACTCTGCTCTGTGTGTCTCCCTTGACAGGGAAAGGTTGGTTTCCCTTCCTTCTGTTTTGTACCCACGATACATATATACATGTCTTCATTGCAGTGAGATGCACACATTGTTCTTGGATCCTCTTTCCAGATCCAGCAGGATGCACCAGTGTCTCACTCACTCCCTGGATCAGGATTCCTTGCCCACCAGCACTTCTCTACTCAAACCTCCATCGAAAGTGGCCCTGCCCTCTTCTTACGCACGCCCCCTTTCCTTGAGGGTCTAAGTCCTCTAAAGAACTCAGTCAAGAGTGACTTCTCTATGTGACTCCCATTACCTTTGTGGGTGGGAAGGGGAGGGGCTCTGTATCACAATTTCCAAAGGTCTTCTTTGATGTGCTTTCCTGGACTCTAAGCAAGATCCACCGAATTAACTAAGGAATATTCCTCAGGAAGAAAAGCACTTAGAAGAAATAAAAAAGATGCAGGAAAGCTGATGAACAAATAGATAGGCCTATACCACACCTCAGACTATCCCCACCCCAATCCTAGCTCTGTGCAGACATTTGGTAGCCACGCTCCTGCCCTCTCATTTGCCAGCCACCATAGGCTCCCATGCATCATCGTTCACCTGCTTCGCTACCATCCCCCAACATCACTTTCATCTTCACAAATGGCTTGTGTTCTCTTTTGTGATAGAATCTTTGTATTTCCAGAGTCACACTCTGTAAGGCAGAATGGGAACTCCACAAATGTTTGTTATTGATAACAAGGGGCATGCTGTAATTCTGAAACAGGCTTTCCCCTTTGAAGAAAGAAAAGTATGTGCTAAGATAGATTTATCGTTCTGAGGAAGTTCAAACATTAATCCAAAGTGCCTGAGTTGAGACAGGCACCACTAGCAAGCAGACCTTGTTAAGGCAGAGGTGTCAGAGCAGACGACCCTGGTTGAAATGAAGTCCTTTTCATCCCCAAGCCTCAACTTCCTCATCTAAAGAGCAGTGGTGTCTATCTCTTGTTACTGTCTGAGACTTAAAGGCTTAAGTTGATAGACATGTCCAAATACATGTGTATGCATGGATGTATGTCTTTCACTTGTGGTATTTAACAGAGCACCACCCTGGTGCTCCAGAAAACCGAGAGTTCTTCATCCCAAAGGCATTATATATTCGTGGTAGGGAAATCAGGACATAATTGTATAGCTTGATATATCTGATTATAATATTCGTTTGAAGCACAATGTAGGGCACAAGGGAGAGTGACGGGAAGAGAGTCTAAGTGCTGAAGCACACGGAGTGTTCAGAGCCCATAAGGCTTAATGTTTCCTGTTCTGAGAGCTCTAGGAAAACAAGTGGACAAAGTACTTCTGGGGCTCTGTGGGTGGGTAGAAGTTTGTCCATTTCACTTCGCTAATAGTCCCGAATGCTTTGGACGTTCTTACATGGGCTCAGAACATGTCAGTGGCTGGATACGCTTTCAATATGCCACCTACTGGATCTGTAAAGCTATAACCAACTGCATGCTCTTGAAACTGTAGCATTGTGTATGGTCCACAGCTGCTCCTTATACAGCTGAGACATCCAGGACCAGAGGAGGAAAGCGGCCCACTGAAGGTCATCCCATGGATATAAATAACACAGCTTAAGGCGTAAACTAGCCTTCGCTTCTCACATTCCCATGTGTTTGCACCACAAATGCATGTACTAAGACATCTGAAACCTCTTCATCAGAACCCCAACAACTGGTGTCGAACTGAAGTAGACGGGAACACCAGTCTGTGATACAGAAACATGCCACAGATGGGCATGTACTGAAGTCGCATAGACAGGATCCAGGCCAGGCACTGACAATGTGTCTCCTCGGAATTGAACAGAGATCACAAAATACAAACATCCCATCCATCACTGCTGTGTAAACAGGCAGAAGAAACAATTCTGCGGGGCCCTTACAAGCCTGTGCTTCCGTCCATTTTGCTGCTGTAACACATATGCTCACAATAAAGAGAATGATATTTGCAGAAAAATCCAGTGGAATTAAGAAACACTTCGATTCATTCAGACTGGTGTGGTGACACACCTATCATCTCAGAACTCTGTAGCAGACACAGGAGGATTTCTGTGAGTTGTAGTTGGCCTAGGTTGGTCACATAGTAACCTTTAGGCCAGCCTGAGCTACAGAGTGAGACTTTGTCTCAAAAAGCATCCTCAAATGGTAGTAAACAAGAATAATGTTCCATATACCCCATGCCTTTTTGTGTCAAGGCATAACGATATGTGTGCCAGAACCTGGCTGAAATCGCAGCATGTGGTTGCAAATTTCCTTCTGTCCCTTCAAGGACAAGTTAGCACTTAACTTCCAGCCTCCCCTTCTGGGGCTTTCAGGTTATTCCAAACGTCGTTCAAACCGCTCTGCCTGATAACTGGGATTTGGGCAGATGACAGCCTATCTTATTTCCTACTTCTGCAATGTTGTGCAGCAACTCAATTAAACCTTCCCAGTGGGCGCCTTGTTTGGATGACCAGCTTCCTCCAGTGCTTTAAACAAGTGAGTACGCGCAGGATTGTGCTCAGGCAGCCCACAGCACAGCTGCTGCTGCTCAAGCTACGACTGCAGCTGTGTCTTGGGTCAGATCCCCAACTCCCACCCCAAATAAGAGGGCTACAGGCTCCTGAATTTAGGAGATTCACTACAAAATGCTGAGTATATGGGGAATACGTGATGGAAGCCCAGTCTGGCTGAGTCGACAACCGAATGGCAAAGAATCTCTAAACCATCAGTGGATCCCATAGCAAGCCCTAGAATTAAGATGGGTAAAGCTGTATTGAAATACAGCAAGGAAGCATACGTAGTCCTACTTAAGTAGCCATTGGGTATGGTTGACCCCGGGTGGAGCCGGATTATGTAAGTCAGCCTATGGCAGGCAGGTCTCGGAGTACAACACAGCTATATGCCATCTCAGCTGTGAGTGGGTTTATATAAATGCTTGAGCATCGCAATCATCTGGAAGTTTTTTTAAACCACATATTGGTAATTTGCACCCTAAGAATGTTTGTTTCATTGACTCTAGGCACAAATCAGTTGGTAGTGAGCTTGTCTACCAGACACAAAGTGTCTGATCCCTGTGTTTGATCCCCAGCATTCCATGAGATTACGCATGGTGGCACACACTTCCAGTTGCTGAACCAGAGCAGAAATAGAGACAGGAAGTAAAGGCAAAAGAATCAGAAGTTCAGGTCCATCCTTGGCTGCATGAATCACAGGAAGAAACCATGGCTTAAAAGTGGGGAAGGAGGTGATTCAACATCTGAGGACCAGAGCTTAAGCACTGGTATCTCTAACAATGTCCCCCAGTGGTGCTGATGTTGGTAGACGCAGAAGGACTCTAAACATCCCTGCTCTATAACCTGAAAAGCCTTGCTCAGCCTCAACAGATTGCACTATGTGTGACTTCCTCTCCCATAGCCTTTCCCTTTATCTCTAGCAGAAAAGTCCAAAAGCTTCTAAGGGAATTGAGAAAGCTCACCAAAACTGTTGGCTGCTTTTTCCTGAAGGTGAAATTTCTAGCTATGTGAAGAACAGCGAGGCTCTGAACACAGGAATCTAAGCTGTTTGATTGCAAAGAGGAAAGGGTGTAGGAAGCCGGGGGCATGCCGACAAACTCCATCACGTTTCAAAGGCACAGCATCCTCAATCCTCCTTATGAATCTTGACCTTGAACATCAGCAGCCATCCAAGTTTTCACCTGATAGCATTAACTCACTCGAGCTTTTTTTTCTAAGCAATCAAGCAATTGCTGTTTCCTTGGGAAACAGTTTCCTGTGGGGAAAATTTAATGTATTGCCTTTGCAGGTTGGAGCCAGTACAATCATATTCTGATGGTTTATCAAATTGATTTGGCTATAGCTCAGATTCATTTGATAGTTCAGATTCAAACACTGAGTTATTTGTATAAGAATGATTCTCTTCCATTACCTGTGTACCCACAGTCCTATAGATAGTAAATTGCCTTTTTATCCCACCTGGGATCATGAAAGAGCGATCTTCTAGCCATCTGTCAATGTAGAATACACCAGAAATGTGCTCTCACTTATGGAAATGATTGACCTGTAATAACGTCTTTGCTGGGAAAAATAGAAATTGTTCAAATGAAATTTGTGGCAGTGGCTCTAACAGACTTTATTAAGGGTGCATGGAGCACTATTTAACTCCTGCCTCTCATATCCCCATGCCATTACCAACTGCCCTCTCCCTTGCCACTCTGTAACTCAGTGCCAAGAATCCTAACACTATTGAAACAATTTAGGGTTACTAAATCTCTGGGGACTCAGCCATGAGCCTGTAGTGTCTCTCTTGGTACTTTGATGGGTATTAAATTTCAAAATCAAAATATAGTATGCGTTGAAATACTAACCAAGATGGTACTTTAAAGTGGGAAACAATAGTCGTTCAACTGAACCATACTAAAAGACAAGGATTAGACAAAGCAGCCCAAAGCTCCTGCCACCTTGTCCAGCCACCAGGAACAAGGGCAGAACTGTGCATTCTCAGGTTCTCACTGAGGACTCAATAGACGATCTCCCACTATGTGTCCAGCCCTGAGCTAGGAGTAAGGAACAGAGAGAC